TGTGACTGTGTGTGTGTGTGTGTGTGTGAGACTGTCTGTGAGTGTGTGTGTGAGAGACTGTCTGTGAGTGTGTGTGTGAGTGACTGTCTGTGACTGTGTGTGTGTCTGTGAGTGTGTGTGTGTGTCTGTGAGTGTGTGTGACTGTGTGTGTGTGTCTGTTTGTGTGTGTGACTTTGTACGTGTGACTGTGTGTGTGTGTGGCTGTCTGCCTGTGTGTGTGTGTGTGTGTGTGTGTGGCTGTCTGCCTGTCTTTGTATATGTGGATGTTTTCCTCGATGTGCGCGCACATCTGCTAGTGAGGAAGCCTCTGTGTGTGTGTGCGCCTGCTAGTGAGTGAGCTTGTATGTGTGTCAGTGAGCTTGTCTGTAGGGATAATATGTGTGTGTGTGTTAGTGAGCTTGTCTGTAAGGAGCATGGGTGTGTCGGAGCCTGTCTGTGGTGAGCATGTGTGTACAGTGAGCTTGTCTGTAGTAAGCATGAGTGTGATTGTGAGCTTGTCTGTAGTGAGCTTGTCTGTAGTGAGCATGTAGTGTTAATGAGCTCTTCTGTAGTGAGTATGTGTGTGTCAATGGGCTTGTCTGTAGGGAGAGTTTTGTGCACATCAGTGAGCGTTTCTGTAGTGAGCGTGTGTGTGACAGTGAGCTTGTCTGTAGTAAGCTTGTGTGTGTATATCAGAGTTTGTCTGTACTAAATTTGTGTGTGTGCCAGTAACCTTGTCTGTGTGTGTCATTGAGATTGTCTGTCAATGAGCCTAATTGTGTGCATCAGTAAGATTGTCTGTGTTTGTGTGTGAGTATGCGTTACTATATAATTTAATTACCCTAAAAGAACTAATATTTTGAAGAAGAAGAAATGTATCAATAAAAAATAAATTTTATATATATATATATATATATATATACACACATACATACTGTTGCATCACCAGGGCTCCAGTATCCAGTATATATATATATAGGCAATTGAAATAGTTAGCTGCACGCTTGGATTTCCTTAAAATGTAACTTTTATTGAAATATTTAAGAGAAGATCAACGTTTCAGTCCCTCTTGTGGACTTGCATCAGGATCATGACGAAAGTCCACAAGAGGGACTGAAACAGTGATCTTCTCTTAAATATTTCAATAAAAGTTACATTTTAAGGAAATCCGAGAGTGCAGCCAACTATTTCAATTGCCTATATATATATATATATAAACACCCTACACAGCTCAATGAATTATGGGGCTGGCATAGATTTTTTCCAGGGCTGCTTCGTATCCCCAGTCCGGCCCTGCTGGGGGGTGCTGTGTGTGTCTGGTGGGTGCTGTGTGTGTCTGGGTGCTGTGTCGGTCTGGGGGTGCTGTGTGTGTCTGGGGGTGCAGTGTGAGTTTGGCTGCTGTGTCTGGGGGTGCTGTGTGTGTCTGGGGGGTGCTGTGTGTGTCTGGGTGATGTGTGTGTCTGGGTGCTGTGTGTGTGAGTGAATGTATTTTTTATTTAAATATTTTTTGTTATTAATAAAAAAAAATATATATATATATATATATCCCCCCCCCCTCCCTTCTTACCTTTATCCTGGGAGGGGGGTGGGGTGGAGATCCGTTCTGCCTGGGGGGGTGGGAGCCATGCTGCTTTCCCTGGTGGTCCAGTGGTGAGAGTGAACTCTAACCTGCGGGTTAGAGTTCACTCTCGCGAGATCTGAGCGTTGCCGTGGTAACCGCGGCAACGCTCAGAATCCCTCGAGAGGACCCGGCGGGCCGGTTCTCTCTCCTGCCTCCCTCCCTCCCCAGCCTGCGGCCGCATCTCCCTGCCTCTGGGCTGGTGAGGGAGATCTTTGGTGGAGGCACACAGCAGGGCCGGCGCTCGGACAGCGCTGGCCCTGCAGGGGCCGGCCGGGGAGATCCTGTGATCTCCCTGCCGGCCTCGGCCCCACGGCCTTTGGGGCCCGATGGCCAGTCCGGGCCTGAGCATCATTATATAATGCTCATATAAACATGCTACAACAGAAAGTGACCTGATTAACTTTCCAAGTACTAAATGGCCCAAGGAGAAAGGGAGATGAAAAACAATGAATGGACTGTGCTGCCCATAAAAGCAAACATCTCCTCTGCTGTTCCTTCTACCAGACCTTGGTTCTACATAGAAAATGCCCGCTGCTCTCAAGTTCCATGAAAGAATCGACTTCTGTGTTAGATTGTGTAAAAATGCAATTTATGTCATACAACTAGTATATTGTGATTGGTAAATTCGGCACTTTTTGACTTATAACATGTTTTTATTTTAAGGGGCACCTAAAATGCAACTACCTAGTGACCCTTAAGGGAAGTAAAACTGTGTGACAGTAAAATGGTTTGGGTTTACTTTATATGATATTTCCCAAAACTACATGCTCTGGGGCTCCAGTACGTTGGGTTGCTGACCACTTCATTACATTTTTGTTTACTAGTTCTATGTCAATGCACCACACTTATATAGTCTTTATATTGCTGATGTGCTATACTCGGGACTTAAAGCAGCACTGTCATGCCGAACGTACCTTTGTTTTATTCTGTTTCTCTCCCTCTGTCAGGATCTGTTCTTCATTTCTTCCTGTCTGTTCTAGTTTTCTTTAAAGAGACATTATAGTCACCCAGACCACTTCAGGTCAATGCAGTAGTCTGGGTGCCAGGTCCCTCAGGATTTAACCCTTCACATAGCAGGGTTAATCCAACATCTAGTGGCTGTCTTCCTGACAGCTGCTAGAAGCGCTTCTGCAACGCGTGCAGAAGGTCCATAGGAAAGCATTGAGAAATGCTTTCCTATGGACTGTTAGAATGCGCGGTGCTGGTCAGAGATGGTAGGCATAGGAAACCTCCATAAGACACATAGTCCATAGTTTGTCTTATGTTTTAAAGAAAACTAGAGCAGACAGGAAGAAATGAAGAACAGATCCTGACAGAGGGAGAGAAGAGGAATCGATTAAAGAAAGGTAAGTTCAGCATGACAGTGCCGCTTTAATATAATTATGTGCTACAAAACAAAGACAAAAAATAAAAATAGAGTAGGGTACAGAGAGTTGTCATTAATAGTAAATTTACAAGCTGGAAAGTAGTGCCCCTCAGAGTTCTGTTCTGGGACCTCTTCTATTTAACATGTTTCTAAATGATCTTGAAAAAAGAAGTGAAAGTCATGTGTTTGCAGATGACACAAAACTCTGTAATGTAATACAATATGAGCAGGATATTACTTTGCTGCAGAGGGATTTAGATAGACTGGGCACTCAAGTGGATGATGTAATTTAATGTAGAAAAATGTAAAGTTATGCACTTTGAAGTAAAGAATGCACAAGCAACGTATACCCTAAATGGTAGTGAATTAGAGATAACAACACAAGAGAAGGATTTGGGGATGGTTATAGACAACAAACTATGCAATACTGTGCATTGTCAATCAGCAGTGGCTAAAGTCAGTAAGGTATTGGTATGTATAGAAAATGGCATTAATTCTCAGAATGAGATTGTTTTGTCTCTTTATATATCATTGGTAAGACTACATCTTGAATATGCTGTGCAATTTTGGGCACCTGTTCTAAAGAAGGCTAATATAGCACTAGAAAAAGTGCGGAGAGGCTGGCTACAAAAACAAATAATAATAAAAGAAATGGAACATTTTAGCATTATACAAATATATCCGGTGCCAATACAAACCATTGTCTGGAAATCTATTCATAAACAGGACTATAAATAGGACAGAAGGTTATGTGTTTAGAGTGAAAGAAAGAATATTTAGTTTAAGGCAAAGGAAAGGATTTTTTACTGTAAGAACAATAAGGATATGGAATTCTCTGCCTGAACGAGTGGTTTTGTCAGAGTCTATACAGATAACAGCAACTAGATGCATACTTGCAAAAACATAATATTCAAGGATAACATAACATAGGGTAAAAGCGTCTTGATCTGAGAATTAATCTGACTGCCATTCTGGGATCAAGAAGGAATTTTTTCCTAGTTTGTTGCAAAATTAGAAGTGCTTTAAACTGTTTTTTTTTTTTGCCTTCTTTTGGATCAACAGCAAAAAAGAGATGTGAGGAAGGCTGAACTTGTCATTGCACCAGGCACATGTCTCTTTTCAGCCTCTGTAAATATGTAACTATGCTCCTTGACCACAGACTATAAATATGGCACCCTTTTTTTAAAGAAAAGAAAAAAAATGTTTAATAAGCAACACTAGTAAAAACAAAATGTGATGCTGGTATGAAATGAAACATTTTAGGTATTAGGTCATGCAAGAGAGGGGCTGGGTGGAGAGGCACAGAAAGGATCCAAGGGGATAAAACAGCACAGAGAGAGCCTAGTGGAGAGAAAGAAGCACAGAAAGGGACTAGGAGGAGGAGAAAGAGACACACAAAGGCACTGGGGGCATAGAGACATACAGAGGCACTGAGCATCTGTGTATATCTATCCCCTCAGTGCCTCTGTGTGTCTCTTTCTTCTCCTGCTAGTCTCTCTCTGTACTTCTTTCTCTCCCTTAGCCCTTCTCTTTGCCGATCTATAGAGACACACAGATGATAGAGACACACAGAGGCACTGGGGGAAAAGAGACACACAGAGGCACTGGGCGGCGGTAAGAGACACAGAGGGACTGGGGGGGAGAGATAAACACATAGGTGCATGGAATAAAAGTTGGCCACAGGTGTCACAATGTAGGGTGAAGGTAATGGTATTTTATTAGATCAAAGGACAAAAATGGTTCAGCGTTTCGGACTTAATTATAAAACATGATTAAGGTCTAAAGACCGAAACATTGTATCTTTTTTGTCCTTTGATCTTCAATAAAATACCCCTACCTTCACCCTACATTGTGACGCCTGTGGACTTTTATACTATTTCTGGTGGATGGCGGACCACCCTCCACAGGGCTCCAAAGTACTTTTAACTTGTGTGCAGTACTCACTGGACTTTTTACAGAGGGGCATAGAGTCAGAGACAAGTACAACACCCCAGTATGCAAAGTTTAATGTCAGTAAGCAAAAGTGTTACCGGGTCTTTTCTACTGCCAGACTTCATGGTAAACAAACAAACAGGTAGATTAGTCAGGGCTGGGTAGGGCAGGGGTGGGGAAAGCCCGGCCCACGGACAGCATAAGGCCCACAAAATCATTTGGTCCAGCCCATGGAGAGCCGGCCCTGCTGTCTGCCTTTCTCGGGCCAGTCCCTCACCCCCCATCCTCCTGGCAGTTTAAGTGAGAATGAAGGAGTTAGGACCGGGGAGACTGCTGGATAGGAGGAGGACCTGGGAGGCTGTGATCCTCCCGTGAGCAGGCAGGTCAAAGCGTTGCCATGGCATAGTGCTGTGCTCGCATGAAGAAAAGAGTCAAGTCAGAGTGAAGCCAGAGTAGCTGCAGGCTGAAGTGCACGTGTCACCACTGGACCACCAGGCCTTGCAGTGATATGTCCCCTCCTTTCAGGCCAGAGGAAAGAAGGGGGAGGGAAGGGTGCATTAAGCACTCTGCACCCCCTTACACACACTAGCCCCTCACACATTCCCTGCACCCCCTCACACATACCCTGCACCCCACACACACATTCTGCACCCCCTCACACATACCCTGCACCCCTTCACACACACTCTGCACCCCACACACACACTGCCCCCCTCACAGACACACACTGCACTCCTCTCAGACACAAACTGCACTATCCACACACACACTGCTCTCCTCCCATGCTGCCTACCCTCACACACCCACACTACACCCCCTCACACACTGCACCCAACACACACACAGACACACACACTGCAAGTAGCAACATCATAAATATCAGCTAACATCACACGCATCACCAAAGAGAAGCAGTTCCAGTCATCACATTAAGTTGAGTTAATTAAATAGTAAAAAAAAAAAGAGACACAGAATACAGATAAGAGTGTTAAGAACACAAGGGTAAAAGTACAAAAAACACAAGAATAGGTAGTCAGGCCAAATGGTAAAAGTACATAAAAGTTAAATACACAGTAGATAAAAACCACAATTATCAGTGAATAGCTCTTAAACTGAAAAGAGGGTCACCAATCCTCTATGAGTCAATAAATATGCAAATATCACTTATATAAATAAGATGAGAAAGTTCCAGGAGCTATAGTGAATCACAATAGTAGCAAGATTGAATAAAAAAAGATCTGACTCAAGTTAATATGTTTCCAAAAATGATAATCAATAAAATAGTCCAAATGTCCAAAAAGTATTCACAAAAGATTATCGGTTTTGAAAAGTCTAACAAGATGAAAATTAGTCCACAGAATGTAGCATATGGATAAACACACTGGGCTGTGTATATAGATAATGAACAGCAGTGTGGTTCTTATGTCAGTATAATATAATTTACTGGAAAGCAGTAAATATAATAAAAAAAATAAAAAAAAATTAAATAAAATGAAAGAACAACGCAGTATTAAATTAACTGTGTGCTAGAAAATACACAAAAGTTAATGAAGAAGAGGGAGAAGTGATTCTTTGAAAATTCCAAACAACTTTAATGAGTCAATAATTAAAATCTAAATAAATCCATAAACAGATAGTAGAAAAATAGTACCAACAGTAGCTCAAGATATTCTGCACATTAGCCGCTATGGTGGTTCTCCCAATGGATGTGATGTGTGGGAGCTGCCGTCCTTGCTTCACCCGAAGCCTCACTCCAGGGTGTGCTTCCACCGATGTCGGAAAGATCTTCGACACCTCTCCATGTGTGAGTCGAAGTCGGCTCGTGCGCTGGAGTTACTGTAGTAACATGCATCCAATGAACAGTGGACCTGTTTGTCAATATGCCTTACGCGTTTCGTGAGGAGATAGCCTCACTTCATCAAAGGCTGAGTTAATTAAATGTTTGACCAAATACAACAGGCTAATTTTTAAGCTGATAATTTTGTACGGCCCCTGAATGATATAATTAATATCCAAATGGCCGATAAAGGGTTCCCCACCCCTGAGCTAGGGTCGAGAAAAAACAGAAATCAGATAGATGGTAAGACAGATCAGTTCAAGGATACCAGAAAACCAAATAGTCAACTGGAAAGCTGGGTCAATAATAGCAATTTATAGTAGTATAAACTCACTATTGGGTCAAGGTGAAACTACAACAGTACACTGTTCACTTGGACAGTTTTTTTTATAGGCTGGGAGGCTTGATGACACAATCACGCTCCCATAACATCATGGGGTGGTGGTTACGCCTAACTCCATTACTAGTGGTGTCATGACACCTAAAAAGTGCCGAGCACACAGCGGCCGGCATCAATGCTGCTGCGTGAGACTGCAGGAGCTGGAACTATGGTGGAGCACGACCCACGATTGGCGGACCTATAAGGTACCTTCCTAACGCCTTACATATGGGAAGGGAAAAAGAGACACACAAAGGTGCATGGGAAGGGAGAAATAACATGCACAAGGGAAAAGGGGGGCAGAAAGAGACACACTAAGGGACTGTGGGGAGAAAGACACACAGAGTGGTTGTGGGAGAAAGACACAAAGCGCTCTGGTCCAGTTCAGATTCTCACATCCCCATTGAAGATGCGTTCGGTGGTGGACAGGGGTCATCAGAAGCACTCTGACCGGCCTGTGGCTATGCAGTCCCATAACGGCAAACTGTGATGCACTGTGAGTTCTTACACTTTTCTATCATGGCCAACATTAAGTTTTTCAGCAATGTGAGCTACAATAGCTCTTCTGTGTGATGGGACCAGATGGGCTAGCCTTCGCTCTACACGTGCATCAATACGCAATGGGTGCCAATAACAATAAACTGGTTTTAGCTAGGCAACTCTTAAGTTTGTATGCATCATAATGTTCACCTTCTGGGAGACCAGGAATACCGTATAATCTATTATACATTATCGCCCTGAAAATATTTCTGTAATAGACTCATGAACTTTTTTCTTTTTTTTTTTTAAATGTTCATGTAAATATTAGTGCTTGCTCCAAATAAATGTAACACTGTTTGTGCAATAACATGGCAGTGAATGGGTTAAAGCCAATGGAGCTGATTTCCAACAATGGCTGCTTTTACACCTCAGGATCTAAATGGTTAAATCACCATCTGACTAATGGGACACATTTGTCCAATAACACATTATTTGCTGTTATTGTGTGAAACACCAGGTGTCAGCCAATACAATACTCAATACAACATTAAACTCCTTTCTATCTTGAGATCCAGTTTGGCACAAGCGCCAGGTGCCACGCAGAGATGGAAATACATGGTGTCAAGGGATTAGATTTTTTTCAGTTGCTTATTTGTTTGTTTTAGCTAATAGTTGGCAAGCATGTAGCCATCCCAAATTCCCAGTCACCTGCACTGAAAGTGGAATTTCCATCATGGATCTAACACTTGGTATCTTGCTGCACATAGTGTCCTGTAGGTGGCATGGGTAATCTTGGTACTGTGTGAACAAAACCACCCAGACTACAGAAGAAGAAAAAAGAAGGCGGTGGAGGGAGCGAGGGAGGAGCTGGCCTGGCCTGGCAGCTCTAGCAATAGGATCAGCTCCTGCCTGCTTAGTGCTGATAATGGCGACAGGGGCAGTGCTGGGATTTGTCCTCTGCCCATAAGGAGACACTGCAGAGGGAATCTGATCGCTAGCGCTGGGCGCTGGTCCTCCTCTTGGACCGTGATGGGCTTTCTCACCGCTGGAGTTCTACTGACTTCGTTCCAGAGCCCCAGCGACATCCATCACCAGCAGCGCTCGGGGGATTTCAATAAACACTTGATCTGAAACGGATACTTTGTCTCCGGGGCGGCGGCGGTGGTTGTGGTGGTGGGTGGGGGGCTGGGAATACCGTCGGATTGTTCTTTCTGGGAGGCAAAAATGTCGGATAGCAAGGTGATAGTGGCCGTGAGGGTCCGGCCCATGAACCGGAGAGGTAATATTATATTCCCTTTGCTTTCTGTCATGTGGAATGAGCGTGCAGAAACTTTTGTCCTGATGGAAGTAATGCAAAGTAACTAGTTAAGTGCTAGATGGTCCCAAGTAGGATGCTTTCCTTACCTCCCTCTGAGACTTTAATGACACAGTTGTTGCTCTCTGTGCCCCCCTGTCCCCCCCCTGGCATTATAGACAAGTTCTGTAAAGTTGATACTTTTCCTGGCACTGCATGTGTGGGCAGTGGTCATATTATCACCAGCCCTCTGATTGTTTGTTTGCCTTTATAACAGATTATTGAGCCTAATGCCAAGAAACAAAGTTATGGCTCTGGCAGGGAAGGTCACTTTAAACAGCATCTTTACTGTCAAGGTTTCACTTGCTTAGTTAATTTTTTCTTTTTTGAGGAGGAGGAGGGGGAAGCACTTGCTTGAAGATGATATTGGCTTTCCCTCCAAGGAGTGAGGTTTGACAGGCATTAGGATGCTTTGCTTGAAAGGCTCAATCCTCCTACAACCCCTGTGCCATGACCTATTAACCTGTAAACTGCCAGAAACATCCATTAGTGCACAGGCACTGACAGCCATGGGATTAACTAATTCAGTGCCATAGCATCGAGAAGCCCACACTGAAGAATTATTGAAATGGTGAAGTTCTGATCCAATCTAAAAAAGTGAAAAGTATTTATTAGCAGAAAATGAAAGCATTCTGCATTCCTTATGGTGCTATAATGTTAATGTGGGACAGAGTTGACATTTAGATTCCACATCAGTATTTCTTTTTATACCATCAGATATTATAGTATGAGTAATGATGTGTCTGTCTCTTTGATGGGATTCCTTGGCAATTAAAGGGGATACAGTCAGGGAATAGAAGTGCAGCTTTGTCAGTGCATTAAGGCTTTGGAAATGTAACCATGTGCAAAACACTTGTTTGATTTAGAAATGGATCTGAATACAAAGTGCATTGTGGAGATGGAAGGGAATCAGACAGTGCTGCAACCGCCACCTGTCAATGCCAAGCAAGGAGAGAACAGGTAATAAACACATCAAGAAATAAATAAGAAATGTCATGGGAAAACACTCACTCTTGGATGGGAGTGTTTACCAGATCACTGTAAATGTGTAGGGCGGATCAAAGTGGGGAATTAATGGATGTGCTGGTATAATCACAAATCTTTGACGGTTCTTTGTTACTAAACTGAGAATTTTCACAAATTGACAACTGAATTACAAAATTTAGGCCAAAATAGCTGCACTGTTAAAGTACTGGAGTTGGAGAATTTTTCTGTATGGATTATTTTGGCCTGAAATTTTTAACAACTTGTTAATTCTCCATCATTCACATTTTGTTGAAGAAATCCCTGTTTTCAGAAATTATTTTATTAGTATTAGAAAAGAATGCGCTGCGTGTTGCTTTGTATATGTGGTACATAGTGGGTAAAACAACTGCTTAGTTATTTATTCATTAAAATGTGAAGTGTCTGGAATTCGGAGTGACTTGGAAAATCTCCTCTGTGTTTTCAATGTTTTTGATGTTTTGCAACACAGCTGTTTTGTTTGTGTTTCTTAAAGATGTCTGTGTTCTATCAGAGAGAGGTAGAATTTTGGTCTGGGCCCATCATGTAAAAAACATGAGTTAAGGAGTTGCTGATATCTGTACTTCAGCTATGAAGTGTCTAAATATTTCTTGTAGATTAACTATTGAGAGCTTTTCATATTAACAATTGCATGTATCAAAATCCTTAAGAAGTCCTAATAAGGCTCTGTATTGTACGGAATAAGAGAACCCTTAGTGTATGAAGTTTTTAAGGAACAATTCTTCCCATACCGTGGAATCCCTAAAATGTATCCGCCCCAGGCTCATTTTGGCATTTTCTAATTAACAGAAAAGTTTATATTCATGTGTAAAAGACATTGCGATACCATGCGACAACTTGCAATATAGATTTATTTTAACAACTAGATGTCTTATTAGCTTTCTCATCCATGTGCTAAGCATCTAGAACGCACGTTACAGTCACCTGGGAAATGCAACAGATAACTGTACAGTCCCTCAAAATATCGCTGGAAGTCAGCCAAAATACCAGTGCACCAGACTGTAAAAATAGATCACTAGCAGAGGCCATGGAGCTGGGAAAGGGATGCAGTACAAGGGAGATAAAAATCATGAGAATCTTACATTGAATTATTTCTATTATAATTATATAATACATCATTTATTTCTATTTTTCTGTTGAGTTAGTTGTAAACAAAAAAAAAAGCCCAGTTAATTGAGTTTTAAAAAGTGTCCAGTTTGCCTAAATAGAGATATGTCATTGCAGCTAATGTGACCTAAACTTTACGAGTCAAACATTAGCTCGTTAAAATATACTATAATACTATTTAGTGAATAAGCCCCCAACAGGTACCTGTTGAGACACAGGGTGGCTTTACAGTGCAGTCACTTTGTCAAGCTGTTAAAAAGATTATGGGCTAAATATTACATTACATTGTGCTGTCTACTTGTTTTTATATGTTTTGTTTATTTATTTATTTATTGTTTTAAATGTAAACTGAAGCAGGATGACACGTAGAATAATAATATTCCAATCTAAACTTTATGGTTTGCCTATTGCATAATAGGAGGATACCCAGAGTGAGGAAGACAGAATGATCTATAAGATAAGGGCAGAAAGAGGCTAAGCAAGTTATAAGAGCTTCCAAATCACAAACAGAAGAGAAAATAGCACAGTCAGTAAAAAAAAGGGGATAAAACATTGTTTAGATACATAAATGAGAAAAGGAAAGCAAAACAAAGATTAATTAGATTAAAAGTATGTAGAAGAGGATAAAGGTAGCTGACTGCGTCAATGAACATTTTTGTTCAGTATTTACAGATGAAAATGAAGGAAAGGGTTAGGAAAAAGGACAAATGAGTCATTTGTTACATGTGAGTTTACAGAGGAAGAGGTTCTATTTCACCTGTCAAAAGTAAAGAAAATAAGTCAATGGGACCTGATGGAATATACCCAAAGTTATTAAAAGAGCTTAGTGGTGTACTAGCAAAACCATTAACAGATTTATTTAACCAATCATCATTAACAGGAGTAGTCCCAGAAGATTGGAAGTTAACGAGTGTTTTGCCCATTCACAAGAAAGGTAGTAGGGAGGAGTCAGGCAACTATAGGCCAATAAGCCTTACTTCAGTAGTGGGGAAAGTAATGGAAACCATGTAAAGGATAGGATTGCTGAACATCTACAGGTGATACTCGAAAAATTTGAATATCGTGCAAAAGTTCATTTATTTCAGTAATGCAACGTAAAAGGGGAAACTAATATATGAGATAGACGCATTACATGCAAAGCAAGATAGTTCATGCCGTGATTTGTCAGAAGTGCGATGATTATGGCTTACAGCTCATGAAAACCCCAAATCCAGAATCTCACTAAATTAGAATATTGTGAAAAGGTGCAATATTCTAGGCTCACGGTGTCCCACTCTAATCAGCTAAGTAAGCCATAACACATGCAAAGGGTTTCCGAGCCTTTAAATGGTCTCTCAGTCTGGTTCAGTAGGACTCACAGTCATGGGGAAGACTGCTGACCTGACAGTTGTGCAGAAAACCATCATTGACATCCTCCATAAGGTGGGAAAGCCTCAAAAAGTAATTGCGAAGGAATTTGGATGTTCCCAAAGTGCTGTATTAAACCACATTAATAGAAAGTTATGTGGAAGGAAAAACTGTGGAAGAAAAAGGTGCAAAAGCAGCAGGGATGACCGCAGCCTGGAGAGGATTGTCAGGAAAAGGCCATTCAAAAGTGTTGGGGACTTTCACAAGGAGTGGACTGAGGCTGGAGTCAGTGCATCAAGGCTGGAGTCAGTGCATCAAGAGCCACCACACACAGACAGATCCTGGACATGTCGTATTCCTCTTGTCAAGCCGCTCCTGTACAACAAACAACGTCAGAAGCGTCTTACCTGGGCTAAAGAAAAACAGACCTGACTGTTGCTCAGTGGTCCAAAGTCATCTTCTGATGAGAGCAACTTTTGCATCTCATTTGGAAACCAAGGACCCAGAGTCTGGAGGAAGAATGGAGAGGCACACACTGCAAGATGCTTGAAGTCCAGTGTGAAGTTTCCACAGTCTGTGTTGATTTGGGGAGCTATGTCATCTGCTGGTGTTGGTCCACTGTGCTTCATAAAGTCCAGGGTCAACGCAGTCTACCAGGAGATTTTGGAGCACTTCATGCTGCCTTCCGCAGACGAGCTTTATGGGGACACTGACTTCATATTCCAGCAAGACTTGGCACCTGTCCACACTGCCAAAAGCACCAAAGCCTGGTTCAATGACCGTGAGAGTACTGTGCTTGATTGGCCAGCAAACTCGCCTGACCTGAACCCCATAGAGAATCTATGGGGCATTGCCAAGAGAAAGATGAGAGACATGAGACCAAACAATGCAGAAGAGCTGAAGGCCGCTATTGAAGCATCCTGGTCTTAGGTTTAGGGGTGATTATTTCTGATGACTTAAAGGTAGGCAGACAATGTAATAGAGCAGCAGGAAATGCTAGCAGAATGCTTGGTTGTATAGAGAGAGGTATTAGCAATAGAAAGAGGAAAGTGCTCACTTCAGTGCTGAGATATTAGCAATAGAAAGAGGGAAGTGCTCACTTCAGTGCTGGAGACCGTATCTCCAGAAGGATATTGATACTTTAGAGAGAGTTTAGAGAAGGGCTACTAAACTGGTTCATGGATTGCAGGATAAAACTTACAAGGAAAGGTTAAAGGAACTTAACAGGTATAGCTCGGAGGAAAGATGAGATAGGTGGGATATGATAGAAACAATTAAATACATAAAGGGAATCAACACGGTAAAGCAGGAAACTATGTTTAAAAGAAGAAAATGTACCACAACAAGAGGACATAGTCTTAAATTAGAGGGGCAAAGGTTTAAAAATAATATCAGGAAGTATTACTTTACTGAGAGGGTAGTGGATAAATAGAAAAGTCTTCCAACTGAAGTGGTAGATGTTAAAACAGTGAAGGAGTTTAAGCATGCGTGGGATAGGCATAAGGCTATCCTAACTATAAGATAAGGCTAGGGACTAATGAAAGTATTTAGAAAATTGGGCAGACTAGATGGGCCGAATGGCTCTTATCTGCCGTCACATTCTATGTTTCTATGTTTCTTCTATTTCAACATAAAAATCGTTATTGGGGTGTATGTAAAAACACCTTGGAAAACCTGCAGATGTCTTATATGTAACCTTTGCACGCACTCCAGTTCTTCCCCTGCCCAGACATTCTGTGGCTGTCCAATCACAGCCTTTTCAATACAACTCAATGAGATGTCTTAGCAAGGTAGGTGCGCTGGTCAATTGCCTGACTCATGAGTTTAGCTCCACTGAGCTAGACTTCCAGGAAGTAACAGGACCGTTTGTCTGATTGACAGCCAGGAGGGTGTAACAACGTTAAAGGGACACTATAGTCACCAGAACAACTACAGCTTATTACATTTGTTCTGGTGCATAAAGAGAAAATGCAGTGTTTACAGTACAGCCTAGTGATAACTTCACTGGCCACTCCTCAGATGTCTGTCAGAGATCCTTCCTGGGTCATGGCTGCCTAACATGCATCCAAACATTCAGTGTCTCCTCCCTCTGCATGCAGTCACTGAACTTTCCTCATAGAGATTCATTGATTCAATTAATCTCTATGAGGAGATGCTGATTGGCCAGGGCTGTGTTTGAATCATGCTGGCTCTGCCCCTGGTCTGCCTCTTTGTCAGTCTCAGCCAATCCTATGGGGAAGCATTGTGATTGGATCAGGCTACCACTTCTGATGATGTCAGCAGCCTGCTTGTTTTTCTGAGTCAAACAGCATGCAGAGTTACAGCTTCAGGCTTGAATACAGTAAGATGTTGCTATATTTATGGAGGCATGAGGGGCCCAGGGGGGCTAGATGGTGGTTTTAACACTATAGGGTCAGGAATACATGTTTGTGTTCCTGACCCTATAGTGATCCTTTAATTTATGATATTGCTAATTTGTATTGAAAAAGAAAAGGATAATAAAGTGCAAAAGTATTTTAACCCCTTAAGGACACATGACATGTGTGACATGTCATGATTCCCTTTTATTCCAGAAGTTTGGTCCTTAAGAGGTTAAGTGTTTGGAGTGTACACTTAACTATACATTTGCCCAGGGAGAGACACATAGAGTTATTTACTGAAGTGAGAATTCAAACTGAATTTCAAATTGAATGTAAAAATAGGCAAACTGGTACTCGTAGTAAACTATGCTTTTTGTTTGGCTACTCTAGCCTTAAAGGGACACTATAGTCGCCAGAACAACTACAGCTTAATATTGTTGTTCTGGTGAGTATAGTAAGTCCTGCAGGAATTTTGCAGTAAACACTGTGTTTTCAGAGAAGGGACACCTCCAGTGGCCACTCGTCAGATTGCTACTAGAAGTGCTTCCTGGGGCAGTGCTTTATAGAGCACAGTGTGCAACATTTAGGTTTAATGTCTCGACGCTCTGCATGGAGACACTGAACTTTCCTCATAGAGATTACCCCAGTTTCTGGGTTCTTGACCCTTGGCTCTGTTTTTCTCAGTTATCTGTCATTTTTCAATCCTTCACCTTGGCCTGAATTTGAATATTCTGTATTTTATACTTTCCTCTTATGTTAAGCCCGCCACTAATATTTTCTTTCTCTGTATTGGGTACTAGCTACCTCATTGTTTGCGTGTTGGGAAAGTTCTTCTTGATATATGTGTTTTGCCACAGCTATCCAAGTTTGGATGGCTTTGAAAAAAATTGGTGCAATGTAACTTTTACATTATCCAGAAGGCTGCAAAAGAGCTGAAGTTGGGGCGGAGCCAAGCGGCTGAACAAGATGGACGCATGCAACCCGAGCTCCGGGAGCGAGACAAACCTAACACACTTCTCTTGGCAGGTTTGCTGTTATGCCATGTTCTTTCCATTTGGTTATGATAGATTTAATGGTGCTCCTGGGGATCATCAAAGATTTGGATATTTTTTTATAACCTAACCCTAACTAATTATGTGACTTCTGAAGGTAAATGGTTGCACCAGAGCTTTTTATGGGCTTCATGACAAAGGGGGTGAATACATACGTACATGCCAATTTTCTGTTTTCTATTTCTAAAAAATAGTTTTATGTATATATTTTTCTAATTTCACTTCACCAACTTAGACTATTGTGTTCTGATCCATCACATAAAATGCAGATTAATAAAACATTGAACTTAAGGCTGTAATGTAACAAAATAGGTAAAAAGTCAAGGGGGTGAATACTTTTGCAAGGTACTGTAGTTAGCATTAATACATCTCAACCTGTCTATTGTCCATAGCAACTGGATATTCAGACTTTGGGGGAATTTATATAGAGCAAGTATAGTGGAAAATCAACAGGCCCATTCCATTGTTTCCATGGTAACAGCTCCACTTTTAATACTTTACCACATTTTTTTTTTTAAATAAAAATAAACCTTTTTAATTTTCCCTATTATTAAAGGGACACTATAGTCACCCAGACCACTTCAGCTCAGTGAAGTGGTCTGGGTGCCAGGTTTTAACCCTTCAGATGCAAACCTGCTATGTTTACATTTGGGGTTAATCCAGCCTCTAGTGGCTGTCTTCTGGACAGCCACTAGAGACGCATCTGTGACGCTGGAGGCGAATTTCGCCTCCATCACGCAGAGCGTTCATAGGAAAGCATTGAGTGACACATTCTGCTCCAGTGACGTCGGACGGGAGGGGGACCCTGAGGGTGGGGGCACCCTCAGGGCACTATAGTGTCAGGAAAACTGCTTTGTTTTCCTGATACCACAGTGATCCTTTAACTTAACATTTTTAAGAAAACACTGCCCCAGGAAGCACTTCTAGTAGCCATCTGATGAGTGGTCAGTGGAGTTATCACTAGGCTGTAATGTAAACACTACCTTTTCTCTGAAAACACAGTGTTTACTGCAAAAAGCCTGATGGGATTTATTATATTCACCAGAACAAATACAATAAGCTGTAGTTGTTCTGGTAACTATAGTGTCCCTTTAAGAGTGTTCATGATTTGTGGTCTAATTTATTTTATAATTTGCAAAATCCAGGCTTAGCCAAGTCTCCGAGTCAACCTTGCTTTGTTATTTTACCAACTGTACTATTCTGGACATATTTTAGTAGACCATATTAAAGTTTTCGCAAAATGTTTTGTGAGTAATCTCTCTTCCAAACTGAAATAAACAAGTGAAAATAGACATATGCAGTTTTAATGGATTCTCGTGGATCTTGTGATCCGGTAGTTAAGAAAATAAAAGAAAATGTGCAAACTGCTTGAAGGCATTTGAGAGCCCTTTTCAAGAGACCTTACAGACGAGGAAATCTGTAAGATAAATTGCCCTTGTCCCCCACAGCACTTGCTTTGTATTCTTCACGTTTCCTTGTAGGTCCTGTGAATACAATCATGTCAAATATTACAAGTAATGAAGGCAAAGTAGATTTTGCCAACAGTTACAATTTAGGTTTTTATAATGAGTGTAGCAGACAGTGGATGATTAACCGCTGTAATGATGGAGGTAAATTGGCCATAAGGGTATTAGTGGTCTCTCTTTCTTCGAGGGCCTGTTATGTTTCTACAGTCGTCTTTATTTAGGCAAAGCTGTTTTACAAAAAAATCTAAATAGATTTGTTCTTTGACACATATGAAAAAGGTCTGTTTTACAAAGAGCTTTCAAAACAACATATGGATGGTGTCTTACTCACTTCTTGTGTAGTTCTAAAGCATTGTCCATATTTTATGCATGTGTGGGGAATCCAAGACTTTCTAAAGTGTGATATTGACACCTAACGTGTCAGAAAAGTGTGCATTTCTTTAGATCAGTGCAGGTTAGGAGTGGGTACCATATGGTACTTTCTGTCAATTGTCATTTGATGGAACTCAGCAGACGTCTGTCAGATCACCTTACATTTTTTTATATGCTGAAAACTTTATGTAGTTTTAGTAATGAGAGTAGAATGCAGCAGTTGTTATATCGCTTCCTGTCAAAAAAAAGGCATAGCAAGTTTCCATGCGATGTTCGTAAAATTCTGGACGTTTGTAAAATCTGTCTCACAGCAAATTTCCATGTGATGTGTACATAGACATTACTCGAGTTCTGAGAATGACTGGGCATTGTGTTTGGGTAGTGTGAGTATTTCATTAACACCTGGGAGGTATCGGGACTTTAATATTGCATCCTTAGGTTTTCTACATAAGCATGTATATAAGTGTGTGTATACATGCACCGACCCATGGCTGCTTCTTATTAATGAAATACTATAAGTAGCACATTCACAAATAAATGTAAGCCTAGTAGAGTCATACAGTATTATCTGCCATTAATGAGGAGATGAATGCCTTAAAGCTTTATTTACTTATCTATTTTATTGCATTGTGTTATCTGTCTGATGCATTTCATTATCCAATAAATAGTTACTTTCTTTAAGCCCTTAAAAAGGAAGAACGTTGTATGGTTAAAAGACTTTTAGACAAGAAGACATGAGTTAGACAAG